ACGCTTTTTGAGGTAAATGGGCTTCACATTGAAGATTTATTATAAAAGGTTTAGATAAAATGCGTTTTTTGATATTTTTGTGTTATTCAAATTGTCCTTTTATTTAGATTATAACAAAATAATTCTTTTTAGAACCACAATTTGTTTTCAAATGTTGAATGCATATATTTGTTTCAAGAAATTTCCATAAATAACATTATGTTTTTTTTGATAGCGATTAAAATTTCATTTGCATAATAAATGCAATCATATGACCCAAAAACACCGACATAATTAATACATTAATCAAAATAAGTGTGCCGCATCACTTCATGTAACTTGGCGTAGAAATTGGAAAGGGTCAACCTTTCACTTTCCCCTGTTGTACGCCTCTGATAGTAGCCAAAAACGTTTATTTAACATAATTTAGTAGGATGAGTATTTAGTAGTAAGAACATCAAAATAGCATAATTGAAACTCCTCCTCCTCAGTCCTAATCCCTTTTGGGATGTGGTAACACCATCTGGCCTTTACAGTTTTTTCACGATTTCCCTCCATCCTTCTCTGTCCTGGGCTAGTTGTTCGGCTTCATGTAACCCTGGTTAATCAACTTTTGTTATCTCCACGGTCTTAGATCTTTCCTTCAACTCTACCCTCGACTATCAGTTTTTCCATCGTGCCTGTTCTTCTAGTAATGCGTCCAAAATACTGCAAATATCTCTGTTGTATTTGTTTAAGCAATCTATCCTTTACTTTAAGTTGTTCTAATATTGATACGTTAGTGCGATGATCAATTCAGGATATTCTCAACATGCGGCGGTATACCCACATTTCAAAGATTCCAGTTTATTTTATCCGCTTCTTTAAGGTCCACGTTTCGGATGCATATGTGGCTATGGAAAAATGAGTGCCCTTACCAGCCTTAGTTTTGTGTGTATTGTTATGCTAGAATTTTTCCAAATTGCTACCAGTTTCATCATAGTTGTTCTAGTAATAGTCAACCTTCTACGTATCTCTCTGTCACACCCTCCGTCATTTGGACCCCAGGTATATGAAACTATTTACTACTTCAAAGCCCCAATTTCTTTAATGTGTTGAAGATTATTCCGAGCTCTGTCTATCATGATCTTTGTCTTACTCCTATTTAGCTTTAGTCCATATGTTTTGCTTTTTTCCTCCAGACATCTCATTATGTCTTCCATTTCTTCTTGATTTGCCGCGATTATTAAAGTGTCATCCGCATATCTCAAGTTATTGATTTTTTGACCTACTGATATTCCGCCCTTCCATGCGTCTAGTACCTTTCGCATATGTGTTCGCTATAGATATTCCTGAGGTCTCTATATGCTACCGACCTCAGGAATTACAGGCCCATAAGTCTACTTTCACATATTTATAAACTATTTACAAAAATAATTACGAAACGACTAGAAAATAAATTGGAATTTTATCAGCCCATAGAACAGGCGGGTTATAGAAAAGGCTATGGAACAAACGACCACAGACTGGTAATAAAAAATCTTATAGAAAAATGCACTGAATATAATAAACCGCTAGCTTTAATATTTGTCGACTATGAAAAGGCATTCGACACCGTAGATCAACAAAAAATGTTGGAAGCCTTGACAGAATGCCGGATTGACTATATAATTAAACACATATACCAAAACGCAACAGCCAGTGTTAGAATGGGTGATCGTCAAACCCAGAAATTCCCGATACAACGTGGAGTACGCCAGGGGACACCATATCGCCGAAACTGTTCACTACGCTTTTGGAATATATATGTAAAAGGGCAAAACTGACTGACAAGGACATACACATACGGAGAAAAGCTTAGCCATCTAAGGTTTGCAGATGATATTGTACTAATAGCTGATAGGATAGATGAGGCCAAAGAACTTTTAAATCAGCTCTACCTTTCCTCGCTAGAAGGGGGATTGAAAATAAATATATCTAAGCCCAGATGATGACAAATCTTGTAGTCAGCGAAGATATATGCGTAGGAACAAGATCCATAGACCAGGTAATGGCCTATAAATACCTAGGTCATGAGATCCGCATAGGAAAAGATAACTGAACCATATTTTCAAATTGTCTGATATACCAATATGTCTTAAAAGAAAAACTTTTAATCAGCGTGTTTTGCCAGTGTTGACTTACGGTTCGGAAACATTGACCATGACAAGAACTGTTCAAAAGATCCCAAATCGCCAGCTACGACAAAGAACAGGGGTGGCTGATGCAGTAGAGAGAGTAGCAACACTGAAATGGAACTGGGCAGGTCACATGGCTCGAATGACAGATAATAGATGGACAAAGCAGAGGTCATCCACCAACACGTTGGACTGACGATCTAAAACGTTGTCATAGGAATTGGATGCAAGAGGCACAAGATCGGAATAGATGGAAAATTATGAGGGAGATCTATGTCCAGCAGTGGATAAGCGCAGATTGAATGATGATAGATATTAAACAGAGCTGGTGAGATTATGCATCCCTGCCTGACACCTGCTTCTGTTCTGAAATGATCGGAATAGGTGTTGTTTATTTTTACTGTGCACTTATTATTTTCATATAGACTTCTAATTAAGTACATAAGTTAGGGAGATAGGAAGATTCTGGGACATTTGATCTAGATCTGGAACCAGAACAAAAGGAAGGTGTTTAGCTAGAGAATTTGACAAAAGAACCAGGCACATTTTAGAATTAAAAAACCTAAAAGGTAGGGTTCTGTCACAAACAAAATTGAAGAAGCATAAAGCATAAATATTTGAAACTGAACAATAAAAGAAAAGTATTTGTATTAATCTTATTTGATAATTGCCTGTAAAATAATATCTGTTTTTCACAGTTCAATTTGTCACGATAGGATAACATTGATATGCTTAATTGGTTTGTTTTTATATGTGTAATCATTGTCCAAGATATTCTAACATTATATTTAATTGCATTGAGCACTAGATGAAGATAAAGGTATTTCTGAACTCAAATAAGAAACCTGAGTTCTGATTATATATGAATACAGATACATAATAGATAGATACAGAATACAGATACACGAATTAAAAAACCCAATAGTTTTTTTGTTTGTTAATTATATTGAAATTCATTAAACTTCGATATATTTAATTTTCTAATAGATTTCAAAATCATCATGTGTGTCGTGTGGGTCTGTGTGTAAATATTTAGAAAGAAAAGATTATAATTTTATTACACATAATGTGACATGTAATAATGAGACAAGACATTGTTGGCAAATGTTCAAAGTAAAGGCACTAGAATTCCTTTAGGACTGAGAAGACCTTATGTAGAGAGACATAGTGTTGCTAACCTAACTTCTTTTGAACTTCCCGACAATGTGGAGACTTAATTACAACATTTAAATATTAAATTCAATTTTGGAAATCTTGATGAAATGTTTACCATAAATCAAGATGAATGCCTCAGAGGTCATCAGTTTAAACTAAAGAAAGAAAACTTTTCTACAAGATCAAGACAGAACTTTCTACACAGATAGAATTTTTGAGTGCTGGAATAATCTTAATGATAACATTGTCTCTGCTCCCTCTACCAACTCCTTCAAAAAGAGAATTGACCGTTTTATATTATAGTTAAAATATTGTTTTTCTTTTAAACCAAAAATTGTAATTTTGTTATTTACTAGTAGGTTATTAATGAAATTTCTTTGTTTTTGGGCATAATATGGACTTAAATGAAATCGTAGGCTTCCACAGCCAGAGTCAGAATTATAGTTTATTCGTCTTCCGGGTTTGGACCTTGTCATTTGTGAGTGACCCAAAAGTGGGTTGAGATGAACCCACTTTTGGGTCACTTACAAATGACACGGTTCAAACCCGGAAGACGAATAAACTATAATATGCACTTGTTCCTCTGCCCTGGCTTATGTATAATAATAATAATTGAAGGAGAGTTATATTCCATATGACTTATTTAGAAATAAAAATTCTAAAATAACTACTTATAAGTATATACTAAAAACACTGATCAGTTAGATTACAAACACAATTGAGTATTCAGCTGAAGACAGGACAAAAAAGTACTCTTTTTAGTAGGACAAGCTTTAACCAATCTTTATTTGCATCATCAGCAACAAACAACTTGCAATGTGCAATACAACAGCTAAATCAACAGGAAATATGTGAGAGATACTGTACATGTGGGAGATACTTTAACATATGTCACCTTATGTCAACAAAATGGGATAAACATCTAGATTCACACAATATTTACATACTTCACATCATAAAATGAAAAGTGTGATGTCTTTTAAAGACAAGATACAAAATGTGCAATTTCAATTTATAATAATCATACTTGCAACATATTTACTAGGAAAGATGCTGTCCAGTTAATTGCTGATTCATTCTCTGTATTTCAGAGCACAAAACAGATGTATTCAATGCATGATATTTTTCAACAAATAAAACTTAGCTTGCACTAGGTGCAAAATCAGAAATATCCATCCTATGCATACATAGATCACAATCAAACACTGCTCACATTAATTATCAATACACGACTCACCACAACACAATAGTATTTTTGATCAATATCCAGTGATATCAAATAATATTTAACAAAAATGCCAAGATTCTTCTAATCAAATAGTGATGAAAAAAAAAAATCTGAAATGTTTAAATATCATAATATTCCTATTGTATATATTTAAAAATAGTCAACATATGCCTTCTGAATATATTTAGTCAAGGAATATAAACAAATCATCAATGTTATTTTAAAAGAACCTTATCAGTTTAAAGATATATTAGACAGTGGCCTGAAAACACAATTAAACATCTCATGAATATGTCATAATTCTAAATATGACTCTTTTTATAAATAGTACAAACTTTATATTATATAGTAATACTTTGCATATTTTATGAGGTTATCCTGGTTGATGTATTGTTCTGTATATAAAAATACTGGTACATATTAATAAAACTATTGCAATAACAACAAAAAATTATAGAAAATATTAAGAAGATGTAAGTTACCGGTTTTTGACTTTGTACTTGATTATCAAAAGGGTTGTAGTCATCAACTCTAAGCTGAGCATTTGTGTTTCTAGCAACTTGTTGCACAGATGGATCCTAAAATAATAGAGGACAACGTATTAATTAACTACGCCATAATAAAGTGTTTCTTTCCCTTTGTTAATAAATATTGTCGTCTTAGAAACACAATGACTGATAAGAAAATCCTAGATTACTTACTGCAAAAGGGTTGTCTATGGTAGGTTCACCAAAAGGATTTTCCTCAAATCCTGACATTTTTTATGAACTCTCTTCTAGTTTATTTTAGAGGCACAAATACACTGTTTTATCTTATCTATATGTGTCTATATTAACTTCATAATCTTGTTTGACAAGACACCATTATTTTGCATAGCTGTAAGTAAATGTCATAGGCTGACATAAATTGACATCGGTTGACGCATGTTATTTTTAAAATCAGGAGTACCAACTTATTTTTCTTGCACTGCCCTCTCCAGGCAAATTCTTCGAAGTTGGTTATCGTCGGTTGTTTGTAATCACGAGAGGGGATTTTCATTCGGCCAACCACAACGAAGAACGTTTCAAAATTATTCAAAAGTATATAAATATCAAAACCACAGTCAGATAGTATACAAATTCTTCGAAAATGTATAATCTGCGAATTCATGTATAATTCTGCGAAATATATATATAATTCTGCGACATGTATAATTTATGTAAAAATGTATAATGAACAGTCAGTAGTTATGCACCAAAGCTAATTTCTAACAAAAGCAAGTTTATTTATAATTTAAACTTTTTAAAATTTACAAGTTAATAGTGGATATTAAAATAATCACTGGAATTTGGAATATGCTGTCACGTTAATAAATATTTCGTTTTTTTTTTATTCAAGGTCTTATCTCCATGCCTTTCAATAAAATTAAGTAGTTTAAAATAAGAACTTTTGAAGATTGTTGTTGTAACTTTATTTCATATACTTAAGCGACGACAATTTCTTATCGTAGTAGCAACGACTATAAACGCATATGCGTCTATAGTTCAACAATTACGTGATGGCTAGTATCTTTTAATTCTTATTTCGTCTTGTAAAGACTTGCTCTGATTAAATAATGAGCAACATCGGTGGTATTACACAACCTTGACGCTTTCCCCTATTTATCGATTGGATACAGTTTTGCACACATTTGACTATTCTTATCACCTTTAGTGTTCAGTATCGGTTTCAGATAATTTCAATGTCGTTTCGGGTAAAAACCTGTCATTACACAATTTCACTATAACTTTTACTTTTAAAAGTAATTTTAGATATTGCGTTGTTGCTTTGTGCATTTTTAAAATAGAATATTCATGGTATCCAATTATATTTCGTTCTTTTGAATTCCTTGCCTAAATATAAATCCTTATAATATAAATCTCGCTAATATTTTCAAACAATTTCAACAGTTACCCATTATAAATAATTATGAATGCCAGTGTTTGCCTTCTAATCTTCAATCTCTACTCTAAAAGAATATTTAGCAAAGCTTTGCACGAAGTTGAAAAAGTAAATGAGTATCGGTTGAACAATGTCAGACATACAGATGACACCATTGTAGTTACGGACAACCTAGAAGACCTACATGTCCTTATAAACAAAATCACGTCCAATAATATGGACTCAATATACACGTAAAGATGATAAAGCTCATAATAATTAGTAAGAAATAGATAACAAGTTAACTCTTCATGAACCAAACTCCATTGAGAAGAGTGATGCATTACAACTACACCTTCTTCTTCTTGAAGTTCTTTCTCTTATTGGAAATTGCAAATCATTATAGCGATTTTAACTTTATTCACAACTGTCCTAAATAATTGAGTTAAACTCATATTACACCATTCCCTTAGAATTTTCAAGAAATTCTCCGTCTTCTAATGCTGCGCTTGTCATTTATCTTTCTTTCAGAAGAACATTAGAATATATAGACAAGAAAAATTGTCACAATGATCACCAAAATCCGTCACGGATAGGCACATCAAGAACAAAAAAGATCTTGGTGAACATCTTTATAGGCCATCCAAAAAGCTGTGAGAACTACACTGAGACATAGAAGATTTATACAGGGTAATTCTTTGGTAGAACTAATTAGACGTTTTAGAGAATAACTTAACATGTATAGCGTCCTGTATATTATTACGCATTTCGATAGAACTACTTTTGAAGATACTCTCAATATAGAGATGGTACCTTATACCGAGTGTTTTACAAGAAATGACCAGTTATATTATAAAACAGTGTCCAATTTGACCACTCTGTATATTTATAAATATTTAGTTTTAATTATAAGTTTTGACATTTTCAACTGCACATTCTAATAACTATATAATAAATGTAATGCGTCATTTGCGATTGTCATTTTCAAAAATTGAAAGAATTTTGAAGAAAAAAAAAAACCTAACTTTAGGCCTTATTTGTACACAGCTGTAAATTTCTTAAATAATGCCCATCTAAAAAAAGATTCATTTTTGCGAATGGACTATTATGCAGAAAGATAGTAATGACAATTTTTTGACTAATATTATTTGTATTGACCAGGCAAAATTTATTAATAATGACACTCAACAGACATAATTGTTATTAACGGGCATTCTAAAATCAGATTAAAAAATATATGCTTCTTTAATGTATTCGGTGCAATAAAAGTTCGGCGAGATACCGGAAAGTACTAGAGCCGTTAGCCAATGTCTAGAAGAAATATTTGATAGAAGATAGATGGTAAATAAAGGTCCTTATCTGCGACCTCTAAGTTCTGATCTACCGCCTTAATATTTTTTTCATTTGGTAGTTTATAAAAAATAAAATAAGACAATCATACACAACTAAATAAAGAGTTAGGAATATATTTGCTTCACTAACACCAGTGGACAAAGGCAACCAATAATGACACCCATAATTCAATGGGTTATTAAATGTTTGCAGCAACAGGGAAATGTTTTTAAGCATTTAATTTAATATTTTAAATTTTATTTTATCTACATATTTTTTTAATAATACATTGTGATATTTTTTATGTTTCAATGTAATAGTCTGTGCTATAATTGATCTATATAAAATATTATCAATGGTATTATGAGTTGTAGGTGTTAACCAAGGTATCATGTAGAGACAAGCAAGTTCTGGCTGGTTTTTTTTGACTAGTTCAGTGATAGATAATAAATTGATAAAATATTTATTGTTGTATGAACTAGAAAATGTCAAATACAATTTCCATGGCACGCTATACATTCATAATCTAAATAAATATATCAACGACTACTCCATAATGCTTTCATCTTCCTCTAGTGTCATTATGTTGTAAAAAGATCTTTTGAATGTCCTCCCTTTTACTCCACTCCATAAAGTTGTGACTGCAAAAATTGCATCTAATTCATCCAACAAGTTCATCATAAATTCTCTGCGGCAGAGGCCTTTCATTGTCTTAATAACACCCAAATCCGTTGGTTGAGCAATTATTGATGAAACATGCTGAAAAATAAAAATCCCATCGTCAGATATTAGAACTGCCCCATTGGGATGAGCACCATCATGATCCAGAAAAAGAAACGCCTTATGTGGCAACTTCTTCAAATAAGACTTTACTTCAGTTATGAACTTTTTATGGAACAAATCTTCGAAGACGTCCAACTTATCTAGGCAGCTAGCTTGGTGTAATAGTAAATTAAAAGAAGCTGCGGTTTCATGTTTTTAAAAGCGCAAGGATTTTTTGACATTCCAATCACAGTTAGCTTTTAGATTATTTCTCAGTAGACAATGGTTTATAAGTAATCCTGTGCAACTACGTAGTCTTTTTTTGTTTAAACTTGGTTATAGACCCCTAGAAGTAGTTTTGATTATCTAATGTCATGTTAGTCCTCCCAATGTTTGGCTCTTTTGATATTCACTTCTTCAATTTTTTACTACTTCCGCAAAAGGGTTCCTGTCGGATAAGAAGTGATTTTTCATTTCTTTTCTTCCTCTTCATATACCATGTCCTTTCAGAACGTTGGTAATCATCATAGCTATCTTAATTTTATTCACTGCCACCCTATGTCCGAAATACTCCAACTTTCTCTGTTTGATGCTTTTTATGATCTCAGTAGTCTTGGTAAGACGTTCTAGTATTGTGGAGTTTCGAATCTTCTCCACCCAGGAAACTTTAAGATTTTTCTATAGCACCACATTTCGAAAGCCTCAAGGCGATTTAGATCGATTTTATTCACAGTCCAGGACTCGACTCCATAAAGTAAGACCGGGAACACGTAGCAGCGAAGTAGGCGGATCCTCATAATATACTCATAGTGATATTTCATAATAGGAGGTAATGAGATTATTCTTTTCCATATATGAGGCTATTGAATATGTCCAAAAATAGAGGGCTAAAAGAAAACTATAACTTAGAGGTCTATTGGTTAAATATAAAAAACCGCGGAATACTACTATTTAAAGGGGTGCGTTTTGAGAAAGGGGCGAGTTAGCCCTTATACACTACGGTGAATTATGATGAATTCTATGCACTTTTCGTACATATACATCTACAGAAAAGTTGTTCAAAATTAAATTTTCTATTGAAATGTCACCTTCTAAAGTCAAAAATATTTATTTTGAAAAAACTATATTCAGAAACGAAGCAAAAAAGCACGAAAAAGCGTAATTTGCTTTAAAGGTAATTGATTTTTCTTTCTATTTGATGTACCATTGCATATACTTAAAAGTGCGTTATAAGAAAAAAGTTATAAATCAATGTTTGCTCAAAAATAGCGAAATGGTCAAAAAATGGTGTGAGTGGCGAACAGAAAAATCGTATCTCGGATATTATGAATAATAAAAAAATTCTACCAAACGTCATTTTGAATTAGACAAAAAAGCGTTTTTCAGGTCTTTTTGCTTCGTCTTTTGAATATATTTTTATCAAAAAAAATATTTTTGACTTTAGAAGGTATCATTTCGATAGGAAATTTATTTTTTAACAATTTTTCTGTGCAAATATGCACTAAAAGTGCGTATAATTCACCCTAAAGCACCCTAGTGCGTAAGTAACTAATTCACCCCTTTCTCAAAAACACACCACTTTATTTATTTGGGGGCATATCTACTATACGAAACAATAAAACTCCTTTAACATTGTAGTTCCTTTCTAAAGTAGGGTAGGCTGGGGCTGGTTGTGATAACGGCATGGTGTGCCGTTATCACATAGTTTTACAGACAAACCATAGATAGTAGCACCGCCGGGTTTCCCAGAATTCTTCTTCTGCATAGCCGCAGTCTCTGTGTGTAGTTTGGTTGTTATGCTATGCGTTTC